TCCTACTGAATGTGAGCTCCTTGAGAGCAGGGATCTTCGTTTTGTTCACTGATGTAACAGAAGCTCCTTGAACAGTACTTGGCACCTTGTAGGAGCTCAAGGTATATTTGTTGAATAAACAAATGAATCCCCAAAACAAAATAAAAACATGAAGCCTAGGAAGAAAAAGGGCTCACAGTTTGACTTTCACCTTGAATGCGTACTGAACCCTGAAGACTTTGAAGTTCCACTGTGATGGCTGTATGGCATTCAGGGAACAGAGGATAAAACCCAGAACCTGTTGAAGGTAGGGAATTTTAATAGGAAGCGCTCCAAATTGGAATCCCTTGTGTTATACCCTGTGCATGAAAGTGAAAGAGAAATAAACCTTACCATTCAGAAAGGGAGAAAAATAAAGCTTGCCTTCATTCATGGTTTCCATCCAAATTTACACAACCTATATGGTATTTGAAAAACCTTAGGCAGAATATTTAGTTTAATGTGGCTGGCAGAAGTAGAATCAAATTCTTTCTACCCAGGCCTCAAATAATTTACACAAAAAGTTCCAAGGAAACTGAGCAACTCACAGTCAAAAATGTCAAAACATGCAAGGAAACAAGGCACCAAAAGAGAATAAGCAGCAAAAATAATCCAGAAAGATTTTGTAACAGTTGGATTATACACAGAAAATAAATTACTGTTTAGCATATTTTAAAGAAAACAAATGCTTAGAGTCAGGAGCAGGGTAAAAGAAACCAAAAAAAAATGATCGAGTAGTTTGCAAAAATAATTTCTAAAAATGAAAATGTACTAATTAAAATGAAGAAACTCTGGGATGAATTAAAAGGTATGTCTAATATAGACACAGCTGAAGTGAGTGAGTGACCTAGATCTGAAGAAATTATCTAGAATGTAGTTCAGAGATAAAGACTGAAAAATATTTTGCGGGGTGGGGGGCACCTAAAACATGGAAGATAGTGTATAATGGTATAAAAAAATGATGGCTGAGGATTTTCCAGCATTATTGGAAGAAACTAGGAAACCTAATTAGGTCCAAAGCATGATAAATGAAAAGAAATTCTCACCCAGACCCAGAGAAGCTGCAGTATACAAAAGAAAAGAGATCTCAAAAGCAATTATTTTTTTAGAAACAAAAGCAAATCATACATACTCTGAAAAAATCAATGGTTAGACTTATGAGTGACTCTTCAACAGCAAAAATAGATGCCAGAAGATAGGAAAATAATATCTTCACTGTTCTGAGAGAGAGAGAAAGAGAAACTAACCAGAATGCATTACTTGCTAGAACTATCTTTTTGTCAGATTGAGAAAAATAAAGTTTAGGACTCAGATTGGAAGAAATTATAAAGGATGTGTTTCAAGAAGAAGGAAAATGATTACAAATGAAAGATCTGAGATTCAAGAGAGGACAGTGAGTAAAGTTATTGATAAATATTTAAATAAAATTCAGCAACATTAACAACAGAATAAAACAAAATAATGTTGAATTTGTTGAGAGACAAATAAACCTGAAACAAAGTACTTTTATAGTTTACATATGGGAAGAAGGGTGATCACAGTTGAAGCATGAAGATTTTTTGTATTTTTCAGTAGAAAGATAATATACTAATAAACTTTAGACTATATTAAGTAGCATGTTAGCTAGGAAAATGTCTAAAAGAATAGGCCTGACTGTATATATAATATATAATTATAAGTTCTACTTCTACATCCAAACAAGTAGAAGAAAAAACTTAAAAAGAAAACAAAAAGAAGAAAACCCTTAATCTAAAAGAAGGAAAAAAATCAGGGAAAACTATGAAAGTGGGAAAAATGGAAAACCATAATAAAATGAGAAGTAAGTTAGACATTTTAAAAGAAATAATAATAAATATAAATGGGCCAAACTTGTCAATTAAGAGGAAAAAATGTCAGAATAAAGAAAACTCTAACTGAAAGATAGAAAAGGAGATATACAAGTACTAATCTAAGCTGTTATAACTATATTAATTTCAGAAAAAATGAACTTTAAACAAAAGAATATTTCATTGAAATAAGTGTCAGTATATAATGATAAAAGACCCAGAAGGTTGAACAATTCTAAACTTGTATGCACTGAATAAGATAGCCTCAAAATATAAAGCAAAAATTGACAAGAATCAAAGATAAATGCCCAACATACTAGGGGATTTTTAACATACTTTTATAAGTTAATAATAAATTAAGCAAACAAAAAAGATTGAGCACAATTAATCTTATTCTAATGGACATGTATAAAACATGCATATAACTTCTTATAGACTATATGTTCTTTTCAAACAGAAATTAAAAATATTTGAAAATTGACCATGTACTAGGTCATAAAATGAGCCTCAAGGATCGTTATCATATAAACCACATTCTTTGACCACAATGCAGTTATAACAGAAAGATAACTAAAAAACATTCCAGCTGTGGACATTAAAACACAGCAAAACTTTTAGAAACATGGATTTAGAGAGAAATTTTAATGGAAATTTGAAAATACTTACAACTGCACAATAATGGAAATACTAAAATAAAATTGTGGATGTAGCTAAAACAATATTTAGAGGAGGATTTATAGCCTAAATTCTTCTATTAGAAAAGAAAAAAAGGCTGAATATGAATAAGCTAATAAGCATGCAGAGAGTTAGAAAATTGAGTGTAATAAATCCAAAAGAGAGGGGAAAAAAGAGCATAAATCAATAATACAAAAAATAAATACTCAGTAAAGAGGATCAATGAAACAAAGGTTGATTCTTTGAAGAGACATTAAAAACAGACAACTGTCTGATCAGATTTTTCAAGAAAAAGAAAAAAGAGACATCCCAAATAAACAATAAAAGAGATGAAAATGAAGTTATAACTACTGATGTAGTAAAGAATAAATGAATGAAAAGAGGATGTCATGAACTTTAAATCAATAGTTTTGAAACATACAAGAAATGTATATATTATGAGAAAAATATAATTTATCAAAATTAACACTGATTTAAGAAGAAATAGAAAATATGAGTAGTGCTTTAGCTTCAAAGTAAATTGAATCTGTAGTTTAAGATTTTCCCACAATGAAAACACCAAGCCTAGATGGCTCTTCAGGTGTGTTCTACCTAATGTTCAAAGAATAGATCATTCTATTTATATATGAACCCTTGTAGAGAATAGAAGAAAGTATGATCACTAACTCATGAGATTAGCAATGACAGACAAGCGCTAATGCAAAAGACAGATAAGGGCTATAGAAGAAAGGAGAATCACAGGCAGATCTCAATCTCGCTTATGAACATAGATACAAAAATCCTAAACAAAATGTTAGCAAAGCATATCCTGCAATAGAAAGATAATATCAGATTGGGTTACCCCAGGAAGGCAAAGTTGAATAATACTAGACAATCAGTTTTTTGTAAACAACAGATTAGATAAATTGTCCCAACCCTCCTACTAAATACAAAGAGATTAGACAAATTGCACTGTACATGTACGCACACACACAAATCTTCAAAGCATCAAAGAGCTAACAAAGTAGTGAAGAATCACTAGGCCAACATCCAGAAAAGATTGACCTACTTTTCCCCTGGGGGTGGGGGGTGGGTGAGAGTTTGCTGACCACTGAAGAAGCAAGTGAGAGGCTGAGTAGTACTTTCAAAGTCTTACATGCCTGGTGGCGTAGTGGTTAAGTTTGTGCACTCTGCTTTGGCGGCCCGGGGTTCGTGGGTTCAGATCCCGGGCACGGAACTATGCACCACTCATCAGGCCATGCTGTGGCGGCGTCCCACATATAAAATAGGGGAAAATGGGCACAGATGTTAGCTCAGGGCTAATCTTCCTCAGCAAAAAGAGGAGGATTGGCAATATATGTTAGCTCAGAGCCAGTCTTCCTCACACATACACACACACACACACACACACAAAGTCTTACAAAGACAGAGCAACTGAAGGTCAAGTCCAGAGCCCACAAGGTGTGTGTGTGTATGGAGGGAGGTGTTGGCAAACCCCTTGTGCTTTGGGTTGGACTGCATCTTAGAACTTAAGGGTGAACTGCAAGAGGACTAGGCCCTGTGTGCATTTCAGCCCAGCTTCAAATCATGTCAGGCACAGAAAATGCAATACAGTTATCTAGTATTGTTAGCATCCCCAGGTACTGGGCAGAAGCAGACATAAATCTTCTCTGAGAAAGATATCAGGATTCAAATTATTTCTTTATGTTTTCAAATTCAATAAGTGGCACGTAATAAAAAATAATCAGGCAAACAAGGAGAAAGGCAACATGAATGAGAACTGGTATAAATGACAAAATAGAAAGAGACCCATAAGAAGTTAGTACAAACACATGGAAGAGTTATAACTCACCAATATTCAGTTTATTGATTTAATCATTGGGAAACATGTTAATAAAAAAGCTGGGAAAAACGTAGAACAGCATTTAAGAGGGGGAAAGTAAATCTCAGTTTATGAAAGAAAATTTGCATATTAAAAAATAATTTTGTTGGGTACATGAATCTTTTTATACCTTTTTGCTCTCTCTTTTCCTATGATGCATTCTTCCCTGCAAATGTTTTAAAATAGGATCAAGAGCCCATCAGTGTGGGCTGATTTAAGTTTTCATCTGTTGGAAATCAGAGAATTAGGCCTAATAAATCTCTGGGTGGCTCCTCCAGCACAACCTCAAAGAAGAGCATAGATAATAACCTAAATGCTTTGAAAAGGATCTAGATCAGCAAGATTTACTACAGTGTTCTTTACTCTTTATGCATATTATTGCTGAATTGGCCTCAGCAGTGACTATACAAATGGGATTGCTTAGCGATGAGTGTCGTACAGGGTTGTGCCCGGTTAATGAGTGGAGAAGAAAGGATTGCTATTTTCAGTTGCATTTTATAAGAGAGATGTAAGTCACATTTAAGTTGTAAAAAGTAAATGGTTTTTTTTTTAATAAGACATAGAAACTCTTTTTTCAAGTTTTAACTAAAATCTTCTGGCCACTTTTTCTCTTTCTACAGAACGAACATGTGAATTACGTAGATGTTGGCGGGGCTTATGTGGGACCCACCCAGAACAGAATCTTACGGTTGTCTAAGGAGCTGGGTTTAGAGACCTACAAAGTGAACATAAAAGAGCGTCTTGTTCAATATGTCAAGGTAAGCCTGAGGTTTTGCTCAAGTGATCAATGGGGGAGCATTATTTGGGAAAACATTTGGTTTTGTTTTCAGTTGTTCTTTCTCAAAGCAATCAAAAATTGACTCTCGGTTTGAAAGTGGTATTCTGCTTTTCTTTTCTTTTTTTCTTTCTGTTTAAAAAATCCCTGTGGACTCCTCGAATCTCTGCAAGGGGTCATGCCTCAGCTTGGCCCTCCTTCACATCACCCACTGTGGCCCTTGAAGGCTGCACCACCACCCCCAGTCAAACTGGAGTAGGGGTTGGAAGCTCTCAGCTTCCTTCCCTCCCCTCCCTCTGGGGGTAGGGGAGCGCCTGTGACACGCGCGCGCGCGCGCACACACACACACACACACACACACACAGCCCCAGGCAGTCCCTAAGGCACCTATGAGGCAATTCTAAGGCCCCAAGGAACACAATAGTTTGAGGCCACTTCTTAAGACTTCAAACAGGTTATTCATCCTCCTTCTTACCTGACATTTCTTTGCACACTTTGATAATTTCCTCTGTACCTAGCCTTGACTCTTGGGAAGTCTAGCTCAGTTGTGCAGTTTCCTACTGTTTAAACAAGAGATTGTTTAAACTCTGACTGCTGATATCCACTCAAGAAACAGCAGCTGTTGCCAGTGTTATTCTTTCTTACTGAAGTCAAACATGGAGCAGCTGGAGTCTGGAAATGTGCCTTGAGAAATCAAGTTTCCAATCTGACATTGCAGCCCACTTCCTGGAACTAGTGTCACTAGGGCAGGGGTCATTTACTCATTCTAATGCCAAGATTCCCACACCAGTAATCACATCTACCTCCCACCCCACCCCAGGCAATCATGTGGGTCTAGTGTCTTCAAGGCCTTTCAGAGCTGGGAGTTAAGGATACTTGTGATGTATGCAAACTGATGCCCAATCAGGGAGATCAGGAATCCTGGGAAACTCTGATAGCTGGTTTGAGATGGTTTGGAAAAGTCTGGCAGTGACATGTGAAAAAAAAACCAGTAGCCTTTAGAAAAAGTGAGTTCAGAGGTCAAAGGAGGAATGAAGAAAGTATAAAAAATTATACAAAGTGTTTATGAATGCTAGCTTCAATAGGCCATGATCAAAAATGGAAAAAAACACTTTGCTTCCCCACTTTCTCTTTTCTACATAGCATGTTTCCCTGGACTAGTCATAACAACGGTAAAAGTAATACCAACTAACATTTATTGAGCACTTTTACATTCATTAGCATATTTAATGTAGGGAGAGAGACCAAATCCTTTGCACTCAACTACTAACTAAACAGTCATGTAAATTCACTCTCTAGTCCAGCTGGGAAGCAAATGAGTCGTGATTATCCTGGAATCTGAGCAGACTCATGCTTCTAATCTCTTTCTTCCTAAAGTTCAGGAGCTGGGAGATTTTTATTTTCCTTGGAGGCTCATGATAAACAACTAAGTGCTTTTTATGCATAAATTCATTAAATCCTTACATCTACCTTGTTAGACAGGCATGATTCTCCCCTGTCTATCCGCAGTTATTATATAACTGAGGTTCAGAGAGGTAAAGTGACTTGACAGGGCTATAAAACTAGTAATGGTCTGCCTACCCCTTGAGTGCATGCTCTTCATGAGTTTTAGGACTGACTTACAATTAAGCACATATTTAAGATGCTAAACACTGTACTTTTCATTTAAGACATAATCTCATCTAATGAAATGATGGAGAATAGAAATACTTACCATTAAACCATCCTCTCATATACTTTAACCAGCCAAAAGAACACGTTTTCACCCAAGGTAGACAGCGATGTTAAGGTAAAAAAGTAGTGGGTCAATTAGAGGTTAATTCATTTTATCTGAATAAGTACCTTTCTACTAGTGTTTCTAATAAATTGTATCATTTCTGCAACGAGAAATACTCAGTGTAGTGAATGTTTTTTATAATGACCAGGAAACTAAAGTAAGGAGGCCAGATTAGGGAAAAGCAGGAAGATATTCAGTTAACTATTCCAGGTAAGATTGTTAATAAACTGTATAGCAGAAAATAATTCCACTTATTTAAAAATATCTCAACTCTCACTGTTCTGGCCACTTCTAGGGAAAAAAAGGGACTTTTTCCCAGCATGATAGTATATTGGGTTAATAATGCAAATTGTCTTTGTGACACTCTCTGCATCGGCTTTCATGACAACTCCAGCTTCTGTAATCTAATACAGTGCATTCTTTTCGGTAAATAACACCGAAATGAAGTGAGTGAATCACTAGAAGATTGCCACTGTCTAGTTAAACCAAGCCATATTCTTTATGATCCAGATTGCTTCAGCTCTTAAATTTTCCCAATGTGCAGCCTTAAAGAATGCCCCAATTGTTTCTTCTGTCAGTAGACGTAGTGCATCCAGTTTCAACCTACTCTAGGATGATTTTTAGTATTCACCAAAGAACTATTCTTGACTTTTGCTAGATTGTGTCTGCAGTGCAAGTTTTGACATGACAATGTGGAGTTCCAAGCCTGAGTCTCTGAGCTGAGCACTGGGGGTAGACATTTAGTGGTGTTTTCCACCCCATCCCTTTCCCAAGAGACTACGTCTATCTACTTCATTCATAGATGGTTCACATCGTTATGCTAAATTCATTTATCAGTTTAATAAATAGTTACTGGGCAGTCTACTCTGTACCAAATCTTTTTCTAGGCTGAAAATACAGTGGTGGACACATGATCAAAGTTTCTGCTCGCATGGAGCTTGCCATCTAAAGGGAGGAGACAAGTAAACAATAACGATAAATAAATAATACTAGCTAACATTTCTGCCTGTATCCTTCATGGGTCTTGTGAATAGAACCCTATTCTAATTCTGGTTTAGTAGATCCTGATTCTTATATAATAGGTTCTTGACTGGTTTCTACAGTGAACATGAGTTTTATGAATATTGTGAGCTTGATAACTTTATTTGGGAGATTATATCTGATTTGTAAAATTAATATAAATTAATCATGTTGTCTTTAACCTAAAAGGTGAATTTTACGTGGCATCAGCTTGATATGTTTAAAATGTTCTCTTTATCAATTCTTCTCCTTTGGATGGCGTAAGGGAAGCAGGTGGACTTGAATGCCTCTTGGACTTATGGATTCATTACTTGAATTAGTAAATAAGATACACCATCATTATGATTATTTTATGAATGAGTTTCATTGAGTTGTGGAGACGTTTTTGTTAAATTTTGCAATGCCAAGTCTTGAAGAGGGAGGAAGAAATGCTTGATTCCTTTCTTTGGCTTTCCATGGGTTCCTCCAGATCATAATAACGCAGGTAGGGTGTGGAGAGGGAGCACACTGCCAGAGATGGAACAAGGCATTTCGCAGGAGCTGCTTTGAAGGAGAAATTGACATATTCATCCATTCTCACTTTCTCCCTGCTTTTCACGTCCTCTCAATAAAAATAGAGACTATAAATATATACAACACATTTGTTTTTAGAGAATGGTGTGATAAAGATTTATTTAAAACAACATAGGCTTTCCTGATAGTAACAGCTCAGCAAGCAATTTTTCCTAGTTTTGGTTCTGTTCTTCCCACAGCCATTTACTCCAGGTTTCTATGCCAAAGACTGAAATCAGAGGCTTTTCAGAAGGTGTGTGTTCTGGAATACTAAGTAAGTTTTTGTGTTGTTGCTAAGAAGTGAACTTTGTTTTAGCCAGTAGGCCATGTTCAAAGCAGAGGATGTATTTTTTTTTCAGTTTGTCTTAATTCTTGCTGGGTATAACTGCATCTTTGGCTCCTTGCTTATAATAGGGTGTTTCTTTTGGATTAGGGATATATATTTTTAAGCTGCTTTTAACACCTTTCCATACCAACTCACAGAAGTCTTTTCTTTTGTCTTCAAAGAAAGTTATGCTTTCACTTTCAACCCCTCTCAGTAGGAAACTCAAGAAGCCAAAGGTGTTAGGCTCTTGTAGAGATGTTGCTTGTTGTGTCTTTGCCTCTTTTCTTTTACTCACCTAAATTCATCCTCTTGACTCCGTGCATTGGCATTGCCTTCCATCTGTAATGTGCCTATACATGTGTTACCTCATTTGAGCTTCCCAATGACCCTATGAGGTAATAAGCATTATTTTTCCCCATCTTACAGATGAGAAAACTGAGGCTCAGAGAGTTTAGGAGCCAAAGTGAGGCTTTCCAGCTCTTGAGTCCAGGGTTCTGTGGGTTACATCACATCGTTCCTTATTCCATGGGCAGAAAGTCAACTTATGAACCCCTTTAATAAACTACTCTAAGATACGACAAAAATGATCTTACCCCTACAGGCTCTGGAGTGCTAAGATGCCACTTTGGCAATAGGGGCTCCTGTGGACCCAGGGATTCGGGGGGAGTGGGTGTGCCTGGGAGCAACAGTGGTGCTGTTCATTGGGGTGGCTTCTTCTCTTCTCTTGGACCCTGAGCCATAGATCTGGATCCCCTTTGGCCTTCAGTGAGTACCTGACTCCTGAGCAACCCCCAGGCCACGCCAGTTGGGCTCTGCAGGCTGAAGACTACAGATGGATTCTATTTATTGTGTTAAAATACTAAGTCTAGAGGTCTAGGGCATGGTTTGGAATTGTTGGCTACATATCTTGTTTGTTAAATGACTTATGTAAACTTATTAGTCAAAGTATGATCGAAGTAAGAGTATTTTATTTTATGCCATTATACCCTACCTGGTTTAAAAAAGAGAAAAAAAAGAAGATTTAAAGTAATTTGTACAAGTCAGGGTAGAAGATGAAAAAAAGACAATTAGGTAATGACAGGCAAGTGGTAATGGGCCTATGCTCCTGGTAAGAAATTCTGTTTTGATTGTTGAAATGAGGTAATGCAAGGGGGATTATTTGTTTTCTTCTCTAAATTACAATTATACATAGATTTTTAAAAGCAGAGAGACTAAGGATGTTTACATATTTTCACTTTGATCTATCAAGTGTTCAGTATAAAGATATGTGGACATAGCTTGTAAGAAATAGTAACTTCCAGGGCCGGCC